AACCGAACAGAAGACCCAAAAATAAACCCACACACTTATGGACACCTGATTTTTGACAAAGGTGCCAAAACCATACAATGGAAAAAAGATAGCATCTTCAACAAATGGTGCAGGTCTAACTGGATGTCTACCTGTAGAAAAATGAAAATAGATCCATACTTATCACCCTGCACAAAACTGAAGTCCAAGTGGATCAAAGACCTCAACATAAAACCAGACACATTAAATCAGCTGGAAAAAAAAGTGGGGAATACCCTAGAACTCATTGGTACAGGAGAGAACTTCCTGAACAGAACACCAACAGCACAGGCTCTGAGAGCAACAATCAATAAATGGGACCTCATGAAACTGAAAAGCTTCTGTAAAGCAAAGGATACTGTCATCAAAACAAAGCGATTGCCTACAGATTGGGAAAGAATCTTCACCAACCCTTTATCTGACAGAGGACTCATATCCAGTATATATAAAGAACTAAAGAAGCTGAAAAGCAGCAAACCAAGTAATCCACTTAAAAAATGGGGAACAGAGCTAAACAGAGAACTCTCTGTAGAGGAATATCGAAAGGCAGAGAAGCATTTAAAGAAATGCCCAACCTCATTAGCCATTAGGGAAATGCAAATCAAAACAACCCTGAGATTTCACCTTACACCCATCAGAATGGCCAAGATGAAAAACTCAAGTGACAACACATGCTGGAGAGGTTGTAGAGAAAGGAGAACCCTCCTCCACTGCTGGTGGGAATGTAAACTTGTACAATCACTCTGGAAATCAATCTGGCGCTTTCTCAGACTACTAGGAATAGCACTTCCTCAAGATCCAGCCATACCACTCCTAGGCATATATCCAAAAGAGCCTCAAGTACACAAAAAGGACATTTACTCAACCATGTTTGTAGCTGCTTTATTTGTAATAGCCAGAAGCTGGAAACAGCCCAGATGCCCCTCAACTGAAGAATGGATGCAGAAATTGTGGTACATCTATACAATGGAGTATTACTCAGCAATGAAAAATAAGGAAATCATGAAATTTGTAGGTAAATGGTGGGACCTGGAAAGGATCATCCTGAGTGAGTTGTCCCAGAAGCAAAAAGACACACATGGTATATACTCACTCATATAAACATACAACATAGGATAAACCCACTAAAATCTGTACATCTAAACAAACTAAGCAAAAGAGCAGACCCTAACTAAAACGCTCAATCCCCATCCTGAAAGGCAAAGAGGATGGACATCAGAAGAAGAAGAAAACAGGAAATAACCTAGGAACCTGCTACAGAGGGCCTCTGAAAGTCAGAAGAAGAAAACAGGAAACAACGTAGGAACCTGCCACAGAGGGCATCTGAAAGCCTCTGCCCTGCAGACTATCAAAACAGATTCTGAACCTGATGGCCAACTGTCAGGCAGAGTGAATGGAATTTTATGTAAGAACTGGGAAATAGCAAGAGCTGGAGAGGACAGGAACTCCACAAGGAGAGCAACAGAACAAGAAAATTTGAACACAGGGAACTTCCCAAAGACTCATACTCCAACCAAGGACTATTCGTGGAGATAACCTAGAACCCCTGAACAGATGCAGCCCATGGCAGTTTAGTGTCCAAGTGGCTTACATAGTGATGGGAAGAGGGACTGCCTCTGACATAAACTGATTGGCCTGCTCTTTGATCACCTCCCCCTTGAGGGGGGAGCAGCCTTACCAGGCCACAGAAGAAGACAATGCAGCCACTCCTGATGTGATCTGATAGACTAAGATCAGAAGGAAGGAGAGGAGGACCTCCCTTATCAGTGGATGTGGGGAGAAGCATGCATGAAGAAAGGGGAGGTAGGGTGGGATCGGGAGGGGAGGAGGGAGGGGTTTATGGGGGGATACAAAATGAATAAAGTGTAATTAATAATAATAATAAAAGGCATAAAAAAAGAAAAGAAAATCTGCTTCAAAAGAAAAAACAAAACAGGCCCTTCCCCATCGGTCAGGCCAGGCACACTCTTCCGGGCAGCTTTCGTTTACTCCACATGGCTACGGCTGAAGGGGGTAAGGTGCAATTGTCCAGTGCCTGTCATCTGCACCCCAGGGTGAGGTGGTGCGTGTGATCTGCACCGCAGGGCGAGGTGCGCCTGCACCCGGCTCTGTGAAGGGCCTGCTTTCTCCACATGTCACATGTCATTCCACATAAGGTAGGTGAGAGGGAGAACTGCCTCAGACCTGATTCAGCGGAACCATTCCGGGCCAGACAGCGTGATACCGACCTTGGACCTTTCATTTGAGAACTCACATCTCATTCCCCCAGCTCAACCTCTTGCTATTTTCAGTGTGGAAATTTAAAAGCCACCTTGATTAATATTGATTACATTTGCCAGATTAACTGCCTTTGACTCCTTAAGCAAAAGAATCTTAAACCAAAATATGTGACATTATTATATTTTTTTCTAAAACTGGGTTTCCTTGAGAGTTAATATTTGCAATGAGTTGGTTTAACTGTCTGGCTCTCGTTACTTTGAAACTGTTGTGTTTTTGGTTTTTTTGTTTCTTTGTTTGTTTGTTTTGTTTTGTCTTTGTGTGTATGTGGTGTATGGTTGTATGAACACTTGTGTGTATGTGAATAAGTGTGCAAACACATACACACATACATCATGATGCACATATAAAGGTCAGAGGACAACTTTGGGTGTCCTCCTCCTTTGGAAGGTTGTCCCCACCTTCCAGCAAGACAGGGTCTCTGACTGTTCATTGTTTTCATTGCTTATGTCGGACCAGCTCACGGCTGGGCTCCTGGGGACTCTTGTCTCCTCCCCTCTCCTTAGGGGAGGTCTGGAACTATGTGGGTTCTGGGGATTCACACTCAGGGTCCTCATGCTTGGGCAGCAAGTGCTTGACCCACGAAATCATCTCTCTGGTCTTGAAACTGGTTTTAAAGGATTTCATAGTTGAAGGCACCACACACCTTCTGGTAGAAATGATGAGATCCCCAACATCATTCCAAATCCTTCTAAAGCTCCTATTGGAATTCCCTAAATGAGCTGTAGAGAAAGCAGTTTGGAAGAAAGAAATCAGGATCCACCTAACATAACTGGATAATACATTTAAATTGTTATTCCCCTTTGGGCTTTCCCCACGGAAAGTCTCTGCCACAGGAAGGGGCTCTGAGTCCTGCTCTCACTGTCTAAACTACGCTGGGTCCCCTTCTATGCCAAGTTCAGTAGCAATGAAGCAAGTTTGTATTTTTCCAGTTGTAGCTGCCCTTGGCTTTTGGCATCTCCCTGTATAGATGTCATACTCCAGCTTCTGCTATGTTCCCAAGACCTGATTCCCTCCTGAAACTTCTACATGGTTCAAATGCTTCAAAAAAAAAATCAGACCACATTTCCTAAAATGTGGTTTGGGAAAGTAAATGCTTTAGCATTTCCAAAAATCTCACAGGTACCAAAGGCTGTTTGGACTGTGCTCCATAACAGTTTTCTTCCTCAGCTTGTCTCCAAAGAGGGAAACAAACCTTACTAGTGGGATACGGAAACGAGCTTACATTTCAACAAGTACTAATATATATATAAAATGATTGCCAGTTAACTCTAAAGGAAACTATTAAAGCATTTAAATAAGTCAAATTCATAAAGTTAGGAAGGAGAGTAAATATAACATTCAACTTGCAAGGAAAAACCTGTTCCTCACTTTATGAAATTAAGAGTTTTCTAATTCTTGTACCTCCAAATGAAACAATCATGGATATGGAGCCATGACTTTATTGTTTTGGTGTGAGGATTCCTTGGAGTGGGAGAACTGTTTGTTTGTTTGTTTGTTTGTTTGTTGTTCATTTGTTTTAAGACATTTAGCCCTGACTGAAGTTTGCTATGTAGACCAGGCTGGCCTCAAACTCACAAAGATCCACCCGCCTCTGCCTCCCAGATGCTGGGATCGCAGGCGTGGAACACCATGACCCAGCAAGGCAGATCTTTAACTTTGTGTTTGAACATGCTAATAATCCACGCCTTGCCTTTTATAAAACCCACAGCAGGTCACCCCTGTCAATATTAGCAGCTGCACTCAGAATGCTAATGACACAGCACACTCTATGCTACGAACACGGCAGCCTGATGAAGAACATGTGGAAGACAAAAAGTTAAACATGAAAATATTCTACACTAAACTTACAAAATCAGCTGCCGAGTAAGCAGCACCTTCTCTACTCCTCCTCTGCCCCTCCCTCCACTCAAGCTATTACACCTCTGCAGAGCAACAGGCTTTTGGGTTGTTTATGTATTTTCATCTCCCTGTGAGTTGAAAATGGTGTAATAAAGCACGAATCAGTTTAAAACTCAAGAGGCTTTGAGGTATAAATTTTTTATAAAGTTGAGAGAAGGATCATTGGGAAACGGTTCACTTTCTATACGTGAAGAAATTTATCAATGAGAATGTGGCACAGAGACACTAACAAGTGGCACAGAGAAATCATAGGACAGCAGCTTCAAGCAGGACCATTTTAGTGCAAATGGAATAAGTTACTTAGCCTCACAAAATGACACATATAACAATGCTTTGAAAATTAAATATGGCAACACGGATTTTGTATGTGAAATTAGTCACTTTTGGTAGAAATATGCATGAACCATCCTTGATCCCACACAGACCCATACAAGCACACACAAACACACACACACATACACAGATATACACAATTCACTCTCTGATCACTCTCTGGGTTAGCACAAAGTTAAAAACGAAAAATGACAGCTTGCGTTGGATCCCACAGCAAATGGCAGAGCTGGTGGTACCCAGCTCAACTGTGACGCTAGCGGAAGAGGGAAGAGCAGCATACTCCAGGCTGTGAGGCCAAGGCTCAGGGACGGCCTTTGATGCCAGCACAACAGAAATGTGTAAGGAGTGATGAAGCTACTGTTGAGCAGACAGTGTTGACCACATAAACCTGTCTCTGATGAGAATGGTCTATCTGAGTCATGCAAGTTTCACAGCTGTAGGAGGAAAGCGAGACTACTTCATATACTCACTGAGGACGTGTCTGAAGTTGAGAAAGGAAACAACACAGTAACTCTTCAATAGCATCTCATTAATGCAGACTAATGGGATGGCTGGAGGAGGGGAGGAAGGAGGAGAGGCAGTTAGTCTGAAATAGTGCTGCCCAAATTAGAGGATGTTTATAAAGTACAAAGAGGAGCATGAGTCGGCTGCTAACAGAATGTTCCGCCAAGGCTGTCATACTCATTTGTATTTCTCAGGATATATTTGCACATAGACAAAGTGATTAAGGCCTTTAGAGGCTTTTTTCCAAATCTACTGAACTTTTACTGAGTCTGTGGGTCTTTTTAGCACACTGCTTATCGTCAACACAATGCCCAATTGCCATCCAGGCATCCTGAGCAAGATGCAACCTTTCAACACTCCCATCTGCCCCTTAGCAAGAACTTCTCCAAAGTTCCTCTTTAGTGTTCAGAACTAATGCATTGTCTTGTCCAGCACTCTGGAGGCTGTCTGGGAGAGACACAAAATATGGGACACTTCGACTGTCAAGGTGCTCACAGTCACAAGACCAGTGACTGGCAGAGGATGATGGTGTGAATCCAGCAGACACAGACGAGAGAGTCCTCAGATAGAAGGAGGTCAACACAAGGACAGGCTTGATGCAGATACAGAGTTCAGGAGGCTGAAGAGGGAGCAGCATGTATCTACACAGAATCCACTCCTGAAAGTCACCCAGCCACGCCTGTGAGACATGGCGCCTGAAGAGACAGCCCATTCAGTCGTTAGCACACCAGCGTGAGGATCCAATTCCCAGCGATGAAGCCAGGAGCAGCGGTGTGTGCCTGTAGCTCCTGTGCTGAGGGGCGGCATGGAGACAGGAGGAGCCCTGGGGCTCTCTGGCCGGATTATCTAGCAGAATCACTGAGAGACCTGGTCACTAAAACGTAAGTAGAATGACAGAGAAAGATTCCCACATCATCAACCACTGGCCTCCAAACGCATGCACGCACGCACGAACACACATACAGAACACATACATACAAATGAGAAGGGATGAAAGGGAGAAGGGTTCTTTGACAGGGACCTATCAATAATACTACCTGCTACATGTTAGGTTTTTGCCCGGCAACGCACACCCCAGGTTTTCCTCTGCTCTCCCCTCATGGAGATGCAATGCCTTATTAAGTTCAGTGAAGGCCTGGATTCCGACACTTCCCTGTTTGGACATAGCTAATGATTCAATCAAATTAAACATGGTGATTTTTTTCCCTTGGGTCAAATGTAGAGTTTCTAGAAATTAATATGTCAATTAAGCCATGAGTTTAAAATGGACAGTCTATGGATAAAATTTATACAGCCATAAACTACATGAAAGCAAATGTAAAATTTTGTTTATATGTATTCTTCTGGCCAGAGTTTAAAGCTTACAGCAGACCATTAGAACTGGAGAAAGAGATAAGAATACATTCTGCCACGTTTAATTTCTTGCTTTGTGAAAGTGCATTATTAGTGTGGCATAAGCTAGGGGAAAATATTTGCCAAATACACACCTGACAAGAAAATTTCAGGCAATCTCACTGGCGGATACACGGAGGACAGGGATTAACACTGCAGAGAGCACACAGATGGCAGTAAACACACCGCAAGACATCTGACATCATTAGCCGTTAGGGACACGGACGTCCAAACCACGGTGAGATCAGCACCTGCCATTCTACGCGGCTGAAACAGCACACACGCGCGCTGCAGAGGGTGGGGAAGTGGGTGGGGAAAGCAGACCACACCCCTGGTGAGACAGGAAAGGTTTCAGGTGCTATGGAAAACATTGAGGGGATTCCTAAAATCTAAGCACAGATGTGCCACCAGTAATTGCACTGATGGCTTTTCCAAACAGCCGCAAACTAGACATTCCCAGAAGTCCTTCAACAGCGTGATAGTTGAGCTGCAGAACAGAGAGACACATGCACCACAGAAACATTCAGTGGCCTCCTCATTCTTGGCTTCGGTATTCATGCACCTACCAAACGCAGACAGAATATGCAATTGGGCTTACAACGGCTGCATCTAAACTAAAACTGTACAGACGTTTTTCTCACCATTATTCCCTCAAACAATGTAGTGTTATTTGCCTAATGCAGATATTACTAGGTATCATAAGTAATCTAGAGATATGTTAAAATACATGGAGGAGTCTCTAGTTTACATGCTAATCCAATGCCATCTCTGTAAGATTTGAAACACCCTTCAATGTCGGTACGCAAGGGAAGTCCCGGCCAGTACCTCCACAGAGATGCAAAGGAACAACCACACACTATTTCTCAATACAGAGGAGGAGAGCGGTGGCACGGACAACAGCATGAAAAAAACCTCAGAAAGCGAAGCTAGAGAGGTGACTTAGGACTCAGGAACACTTGTTCTGCCAGGGAGCCTGGCTCCGTTTCCAGAACCCGTGTCAGACCGTCCACAGCTGCCTCTGATCAGCTCCAGGAGGATCCAACGCCTTGTGCCTCCATAATTACCTGCACTAACATGTGTATAGCTACACACAGGGGCACAGTCAGCAGCAATAGAAGGAAGTCATGCTGAGTAATAAAAGCCAACCCCCAAAGTGGTAGACAGCGCAATTCCATAAACAACACTTTGTAAAAAAAAAAAAAAGTCATCAAATATGAGCAGACTGGTGTCTACTGGGAGTTAGAAACAGTGGTTGAGATGCAGATGTAGGAAGGAAAAAGCACAGTGAGGTTTTACTGCCATTCACTATCTTACATGGCAGTGGGCATATGAGCTTACACAGGTGACGAAACGGCACAGCATAGACATTAAAACCCACATGCTGACGCAGGGAAGTAAGGCGGGGAGCCTGGGTAAGGCTGACAACATGTACCAATGCCTCAAGTGCTTGAGTTCTTTCTTAATTCTGTTATTTGCTATTTATTTATCTTCTTTCGTATGTGTGAGTGTTCGCACTGCACGCGTGTATGCGTACCACACGCGTGCCTCGTGCCTGAAGAGGCCAGAAGAGGGCATAAAATCCCCGGAGCCGGAGTTACGGAGGCGGTGGGGTGCTGGGACGCGCACCTGGGTCCTCTGGAAGAGCAACCAGTGATCATAAATGCTGAGCCACCTCTTGAGCCCCTGGAGGTGTGAGAGAGAGGAAGGGAGGAGAGAGAGAGAGAGAGAGAGAGAGAGAGAGAGAGAGAGAGAGAGAG